TTAGTCCTAGCACTCAGAAGGCAGAGGCAGGAGGATCTGTGACCAGAGTCCAGCCTGGTCTACATAGTGAGTTCCAGGATAACCATGGCTACTTGGTAAGACCCTATCTAAACAGAACCAAACAAAAAGCAGTCACTGAATATCTTCATGCTTGCTGGGATGGTTACATCAGCTTGTCCTCCAGCAGTGGACAGCATTGTGCTCGAACAGGTACCAATCAGTGGCCTCTGCCTCTAACAGGAGTCCAGGGCAAATTTCGTTCTCCTCAATTTCCTTGTTCTCAGAGTTCCTGATATGCTCAGTGTGTGCCAACACTTCACAGGAGCAGTCAGGAATGCAGTACTCGGTCCCCTCGCACAGAAGACCCCATCTTATCTGGGGCCTAAAGAGATCCAGAGCACACGTGGATGGTGACATAAGAAACTGAGGCCCAGTCAACACTGCTGATGCCCACACCATGCCTCATTGTGTCAAGCACAGGAATGAGGTAAGGCACAGACCATGTTGAGTGGAAGAACCTAAGAATATATATATAAATTTATTTTTATATATTTTATATTAGAGAGAGAGAGAGAGTCAGGGTTTCTCTGTGCAGCCCTGGCTGTCCTGGAACTCCCTCTGTAGACCAGGCAGGCCTGAAACTCACAGAGATCTGCCTCCCAAGTACTAGGATTAAAGGCGTGTGCCACCACCACCACCGCCTTGGCAGTGAGCATCTGACACACCGGGCCATCTCCCTGGCATAATAATCTTGAGACCAGCTCTCACGTTTCTGTTGGGCCCTATGTGTGACCCATCGTGGCCATGAAAAACAAATCTGCCACAAGACCCTGGTGCCTTTCCCGACTGGGGAATACAGCTTGGTGGTACAGCACTTGTCTGGGGTGTGCAAGTCTCTGAGTTCTATCCCAGTCTAGGGTCACAATAAAATAAAAAAATAATAAAGGCAGGGGCCCAGCCAGCAGTGGCATGGCTCCTGCAGACAGGAAGAGATTTGGCTCTCCTCTGACACGATAAAGGTGTATAGAGGTGGGGAACTTGGGAAGGAGACAGACATGTGTGTTCTTGGGCTCATAGGACCAAGGTGGCCATGGCTCCATGCGGTTCCTTCCTTGATCTGAAATGAATATTTTATATCAATCTCTGCACTGGCTACTTTTCTCACTATTGAGACAAAGCTTACAGTGTGAGAGGGGCCATTCTCTCACTTGAGCCATCGTCTCAGAAGGAGAATTATCGTGCTGGAGAGATGGCTCAGTGAGTAAAATGCTTGCTGCCAAAGTACCATAGCAGGAGCTTGAGGCTGTTTTTGCTCATATCTGGATAGATCGGGATGGAGAGAGACATGTGTTGGTGCTTAGCTGGTGTGATGGCTCAAACAAGAAATGTCACCTCCTAGCCTTGGGTGTTTGGCCCCCGGTTTGTAGTGCTCTCTGGGAAGACTTAGGATGTATGGCCTTGTTGGAGGAAGTGTGTCACTTTAGGTGGGCTTTGAGAGCCATTTCTGGTTCACTCTTTCGGCAGTGTGTTTGTGTTTAAAGACGTGAACTCTCCGCTTCCTGCTCCTGCTACCATGGCTGCTGCTTGCTACCATGTCTTCCCTTCCCACCACCGTGATGGACTCTAACCTTCAGCAACTGTAAGCCCAAACAAACTCTTCTAAGTTGCCTTGGTCATGCTGTCTTATCAAAGCAACAAAAAATTAACAAATGCAATAGTGTACAGACGGACAGAAGGATGAAAGACAAATGTGTGGATAGATGGATGGGTGAGTCCATGAATACAAGGAGCAGTGGATGCATAGGTGAGTGGAAGAAAAAAAATGAATGAATACAATAAATGGGTGGATGGTTGGATGGATGGATGGATGGATGGATGGATGGATGGATGGATGGAAAGACAGAAAGATGGATGTATAAATGGATGGACAGGCGGGTGGAATGACAGACAGACAGACAAAAGAACAAGTGAAAGAATGGCCTCCCACATGGAGGACAGAAGGGAATAGAGGCTTCTGGATTGCCTGAGCTGCATTTTTCCTCACTGCAGAAGGACATGCCTCACCCTCTTAAGCCCTGGAAAGCCAGAGTGACCCAGGAGAGGGGAGCCATTGCTTCTTTATACCAGGTTCGCATTTCTGGATCTCTGGCTGTGGCTGGCCCTCACGCCCACTTATTTCATTCTAAGGACAAGAGCCTCAGCTATCTTGCCCATCCACTCGGACTCCAGTGCCTGGTACCCAGCACACACTCTGCAAACGCCCACAGTGTGAAAACAGAAGGGCCTGGGAGCAGTCCACACCTATCCTATCACCCATAAAGCAGGGTCAATCATAACCACAAAAGCACACCAAAAGACACCCAGGAACCCTGAGAAAAGGAGGGACCAATCCTGGACCCTTAGAGGGAACAGCAGAGACAGCTAAGCTCCGTCCATCTGCATGAATTTTAACCGAGGACAATTAAAAACAAATTTGGCACTGGGTGTGGTGTAATCCCAGAACCTTGCAGGACAGCAAAAATATTAGGAGTTCAAGGCTAGCCTTGACTACACAGACATTTGAGGACAGCCAGGGTTACATAAAACAGCATCTAAAAATTAACTAGTTTAATTTTTTTTCCTTTTCATTGGAAGGTGCCAGGAGATGCCTAATGACAGAATGTAGCTTTCCAAAGCTACATGGGGACAGACGTTAAGGCCAAGGATGGCTCAGTGGGTGAAGGTGTCAGCCACCAAGCCTGGCGACCTGAGTTTAGTCACTGGGATCCATAAGGCAGAAGGAAAGAGCTGCCTTCCTCACGTTGTCTTCTCAGCGCCACAGGAGTGCTGTAGCAACCACACAAGACAAACTGACAAAAATATAATAAATTTTTAGAAAGAAGAAAGCAAAACATGTCTTCCAGCCCTGGTCGGTTCACCTCAAGTCTATGCCCCAGGCCGCCATGACAAGCGAGTGAATAACCCTAATCACATCTAAGCCGAGGACGTGAACTTTTGAGGTCCAGTGAGGGTGATTCTCCCAGATATCCAAGCCCTTACTGCCACCCCAGAAGAAAACCCCAAAGTAAGGTGTGTGTTCTTTCACCAGGCTCTTCCAAGACTGGAGGCAGCCATGGGGCCCCAGCATGGGGCAAAGTTCTCTCTCTGTCACTTTTGGAACCTAGCCTCTGGGTCTTCTCCCTCAGGCCCATGCCTACAGGGAGACACAGGTGATCGTGTAGACTGCTTATCTGTCACACACACACACATCTCATGCTACAGTGGTCATCATCATACAGATGATGCTAGGACTTGGCTCTTTTGGAGGTAACTAGGTGATAAACATGGAACCCTCCTGAAGGGGATGCATGTCCTCATGAAAAGGATCTGAGCAAGCTCACAGCCCCTCGGGCCCGTGAGGACCACAAGGCGCATCTGTGATCCTGGGATGACGATGAGCCATGCCAGCCTGCAAGTACTTGTGTCGCACTGTCCGGCCTGCAGAGCTTGAAGGAAGATTCCCTGGGTGCTCTGGAATACGGATCATGACCTTCTGTGAGCCCATAGCAGCCCCAGCGGACAGGGTCAGTGGCTCCCAGGACTCTACAAACTCGGGATGAGACAGGCTCTCTCTAATAAGCACCTCTCTCGTTTGTCAAAGAAACATATTTCCATACCAAATAAGGCCGCGGACTCCACAGTCTCTGCCCACTTCACACAATTCCTTTTAAGTGTCCAAGAGCAATTATACTTGGATGGTGCTTGGGTTCGGCCTCCCAGTGTAAGCAAGTGGCCCAGCTGGGTTACAGCTGCCTGCCCTGGGGGAGGAGGCCGGTCACCATCCTCCCTTCTGCCTCTCTCTCTCTCCTCTCTCTGCCTCCAGAATCCCAGAAAATCCCTGCCCCCCCCTCCCAAGTCCCAGGAAGCCAGCTGGTCCCAAGCAGGCAACCAGCCAAGGCTCCCTGCTCTCAGGTTTGTTTGGTGCAGGGGGACGAAGAGGTGCCTCCCTGGGCAGGAGAGGCTCCAAAGCAGGTGCAGAGAGAGGTCTATTTCTGGGCTCACTGCAAGATGCCCACAAGGCGCACCTCCCCCAATCTGGGCACTTTTCCCTCCCGTAGGAGAGTGTGGCATTCCCTCAGGCTTCTTGGGTCATGAGAAAGTTGGCCCAGGGCAGAAAAAGGCCTCAGCACCCCACCCTCACGGCCAACCCTCTGCTCCCTCCATACCCACTCAGGCTTGGGCTCCATGCCCCGGCCACTAACTTTTTCCAGGACCCCCTCTGGGGGGTGGTGGAGGCTGACTCATCTTCACTGAGGAGTGCACGCACCAGGCATGAAGGCTCGCCAACTTCCCCGCTCAGCCCAATCGAGCAAAGGCTGTGATTTTCCATTTGCAACATCTGATTGTTATTAGGGCTAGAGAGAGGGGAATTCCTAGTTCCACAGGCCCCAGGAGGCCCCCAGAAAGATTCTGGGGTGGCAAGAGGGGGGGGAGTTGGTGCCATCTGGGTTGTGGGGCCTTCTCTCTGCCAGTTCTTCACCGCTCTCCACAGGGGGCCCTCACCTGCTGCTTCCTGGCCTCTCTGTGCCAGTGAGTTCAAGCAGAGGGGTAGACATTCCCCTACCACCACCCACCACCACCACCACATGCCCTGAAATGCCCGCTGGAAGCAAGCCAAAGGCACAAAGCAAGTGAACGAGCCAGAGCTCCCTCTACTGGGGCAGCCCTCTGGAGCTGCAGGATAAGGTAGATATTAACATCTGGACTCCAGCCCCAGTGCTCAGGCCAGCATGACGTCACCAGGCAGAGAGAAATGAGTTCCCAGTGGGGGGGTGGAGGGGGGAAGGATCCTGAACAGGGCATTCCTTCCCCAAGCCTCATCACTGTCCAGCTCCTCCTCCTCTTCCTCCTCCTCCTCCTTCTTCTCTTTCTCCACCTCCTGCCCTCCCCTCCCCCTTCTGCTGGGCCTGGAATTGGGTTTGGGGCGGGTTCTGTTTCCAAAGCCATCTCCAACAGGCCAGGCGGGTGAAGGCTCATCCTCCACCCTTCGCCTGAATTTTCCGAGGCTCCGGGCAGTTCTCGGCTAGCCTGCTGCGTGCGTCCGCAAGCCCGGAGTTCCAGGAGAAGATCTCTACGGAAGGAAAGTCCAGGAGCCACAGGTAGCACTCCGGCACCCAGGGACTAGGGGAGGGAGATCAGGGATGGGGCTGCAGGTTCAGGATCAGGGCTGCAGGGTGCAAGTTAGATGGGGCAAGCAAATGAGATCAGCATCCTCAAGGCAGGGAATTGGGCATGGTCGTGACAGGCAACTTACAGAGGTTCCCCCCTCTCTGACCAGGGAGCCCCAAGACCCTGGAGTGAAGCTGTCCCGATCCAGAAGTTCTGTGCTGCCCCTCCCACAGCCCTGAGTATTCCAAGTTCCCCTCTTTCGTTGCATCCCCTGACACCCGGCTGGCCTTCCCCTTAAGCCCCAAGACATCCTGCAATACCAGCTCCCACTCTGTCCTCCTGAGGGTGGGAGCTCCCCATCCTTCCTTCAACCTTATATCCAAGCCTGGTTTCTGGAAGAGTTTGAAGGGAACACCCAGTGGGCAATGGTCCAAGTACAGAGCTATGGTTCCCATTGCTCTTAGGCATGCCGCCGGCCATGAAGACAGCAGTGGGCAGCTCTTTTGGGGACCCTTGGGGATTAGCCACATGAGATTGGACAGCTGGTAGTCTCACCTTCTTCCTCTCTAGCCAGGCCTGGTGCTGTTGCTGGCTGCAGAGAGTTTGCCAGAGAGTTCTGCCAAGACTTCATTCCCCTCAGAGAAGAAACTCCTGTCAAGTCGTGATTCTGTGTTTTCTGTCCTAGGTAGAAACACAGGCTTTCTGTGTATCTGGGGACAGCAGCAGACTGGCCCCTCCCATGGCCAGTGCCCAGGCTAGCCCATAGCTAAGGAATGAGGGGAGAGGCTGGGGTAAGGTATAGTAGAAATGAAATGGCCTAGGAGCTCCCTCAGGGCCGGTCTGTCCGTCTGTCTGTCCAAGGAGGTAGACAGGTGGCCCAGCATCCTGTTTTGAGGGGCGGGAGCAAGGGTGCAGACAGGGCAGCCTTTTCCGTTGGCTTTAATGAAGTTGGTCCTGTCACCGCTCAGATCCTGGCCAGAGCTCATGCTCTCACATGCATCCTTGTACACGTCACACACGTGTCTCTAATATGGCCCATCTGGGGTCCGCTTCGCTTCTGGATCTCTCTGCATGAGTGAATCACTTTACAAATGATCCGGAGCAGGACAGGGACCAGGCGTGGAGATTGTACCAGTCACAGAGAAGAGCAGGGAGCACGCTCACCTGCACAGAGGGTGTGTGTCTAGTGGGGGTTAAGCCTGGTAGAATGAAAGGTCCCCTGAATAAGGACGTCCCTGGTGGGGAAAGCTGGGAGTAGCAGGTGTCAGGAAGAGTGGCAGGAGCGGAGGGTGCTGGGGTGCAGGTACCAAGAAGACCTGGGCTAGCCTCATTGCATAGCTACCAGATGACTCCCGGTGGGAGGGGCCACACTTCGCAGCACCAGCATTTCTGCAAGCTCCCTGCACAAACATCACTCCCACCCGGGACACCGGAGCAGGTCTCCACAGTGAGCCACTCTTAGGGTACACCAGCAGCACACAGGTAGAGGGCGGAGGATAGCCAGGGGCGGAAAGGGGCTCTGTTTACCCTGGTTAAGAGTGTGCCTCTGGGCCTAGAGGCACCATCCAACGGGAATGAAGGGTCGGGGTGTGGTTTCAGTCCCCACCGGGTTCCTTAGCCCCCCTACAGCGGACCGAGGCCTGGAGTGAAGAAGGGGGCGTGTCACTCGGGCGGACCGGACGCTCTCGGCAGCCAATGGCTGGCGCAGCTGCCAGGAGGGAGGCGGCAGTGGCCCTGCGCGTGGCAGCTGGGGAATCCGCCCTGCTCCGGGGAAGGAATTTCTGAGGAGTGGAGCAGTGCGCTGCCCACATCCCCGTTCTGGGAGAGGCTGGTCTGGCAGTCGCCCTGCCGTGTCCTGAACCACAGACCTCCCACCTGCTCTGTAGGCAGGCATAGTGCAGGCTGAGGACGGGGCTCAATTCCAGGAGACCCAGGGTGGGTCTATCAGTGAGCTGTTGCCCCTCCCTAGCTTGTCACCCAACCCACCCCTCTGTCTCCAGATTGGCTGAATGGGGCTGAGCCCTACACGCAGCCTGGAACCCAGAGCCACCACAGCAACCTCTTGGTTTGCCCCTGGGTCCTGACAGTACACAGATCTTCAAAGTTTCATTATGTGCCCTGGTTAGGAGTGTGCCTCTGGGACTCGGTACACCTTCAGAAAGGAAAGAAGGGCTGGGGATGTGTCTCAGTTGGTAGATGTTTGCCTGACAGGCACAAAGCCCTAGGTTGGAGCCCCGGTGTCACATAAACCAGGGATGGTGATTCAGCCTGTAATCCCGGCACTCAAGAGATAGAGGCAAGAGGATCAGAAATTCAAGGTCATCTTCAAGGCCAGCCTGGGTTGCATGGGACCCCGTCTTTCACAAAAAGGAAAGGATGGACAACCATCCCAGAGATAGGATGAGGAACCATGATAAAGCAAGGCCCAGCCAATGGCCTCCTCCTCCAGGATGCCCCTCTGCCAGAAAGAATCTGTCCTCTATCGCCCATTCCATTTCTAGGACCAAACAAGACCTCTATCCAAACACAAAGGAGGTTTGAGTGCCAGAGACCCTGTCATGAACATTCCAGAAAAATTCTAACCTAGGCACCTTGCATCCCAATGAGAGAGCATCTTCCTTAGGGAGTGACAGTGGGGCTCCAGGAGGAGGGAAGGGTCTGAATGTGAGCCTACAGGCAGTGGGAGCAGGAAGGGTGCAAAGTTCCTGCCTCAGAGGGAGCCCGGGTGGCTCTTTCACTGTGGTGAGAGCCACAGGCCTGAAGAGCCTAGGGGGTTGGAGCTTGTGGGCTGGAAGTGGAAAGGCTCTGAGAGGGGACAGGTTTGCTGACTCCACTCTGCCCTCTCTATAGGCTTTCTCCAGGCAGGGACACAGGCTGGTGAGCTCCCAACAGGAGCTTGGACTCCCCATTCCTGGAGATGGCCGGAAACTGCTCGTGGGAGGCTCACTCCACCAATCAGAACAAGGCAAGTGTCACCACGGGCAGGGGGCCCTTAGTCTGTGGGAGAGGGTGGTTGGGAGGGGCAGCACTCTCTCCCCCACACCCCGTAGAATGACAGCAGCCCAAGAGGCAGTGACTGGGCATGCCAGAAGTTGTCCCAAAGTCCTCAGAGAAGAGACAAGGCCCCAGGAGGGAGCAGACTCCAGAGTGGTGTTCCCCAAGGTATGGTGGGCTGCAAATAATAGCTTCTGCCCGGTGACTCACCGGTCACCCCCCCACCCCAACACCTAGTGAGGGACCCGAGACTTTTTCCAGCTTAGGGATACAAACGAGGCTCTGTCCAGCCCCAGCAGGCCAGCGCGCACAGCTGAGCTGGTTCTCATGGGACAGTTTTGCATCTGGGCCTGGTCCGCTGAGTTGACCCCAGAGGCCTGACGCAGTCCACCGGTGAAGTCTTAGAGGTGGGAAGGTAGGGAGCAGAACCCCATAAAGAACTTGTCCGGTCCTGCTAAGACTTTGATGGACCAGGGCAGGTTGAGGGGGGTGCTCCCTTTTCTGAGGAGAAGGGAAGAGAGAAAGGGAGAAGAGAGTGGGAGGGTGGGACCAGGAGGAGAGGAGGGAGGTGGCTATGATTGGGATGTAAAGTGAATTAAAAAAAAAAAAAAGAACTTGTCCTGGAAACCCAGTGTCTCCCCAAATTTAGCCAGAGCCCTTAGTTCCTGTTTGTAAATTCCTCTTGACACAGCCAATCCAGAGGTTATTTCTCTTCATTAGAGAATGTCAACACAAAGCGTATTTTTCTTGGGGCCCAGCTTTCCACCAAGGTCTTTTGGAAGATGGCAGGAAAGAGCTTGTCCCTAGAACCTTCCTACTTCCATGAGCATGAAAACAGTATGAGGCTTAGGGAGAGAGTCCTGGGTTAGATTAGTGATGTCTGCAGGGAGGAGGGAAGGGGAGCAATGTGCATAGGGCAACACTCACCACTGAGAGGGAGGGCTCCAGACAAACCTGAGAACAGAATAGCAAGTATTGGCTATTGGCTCACACAGTTGTCTTTAAATGCTGGCCCAGAAATATCAAACTATTTCATGTTACCCTCTATATATACAGCTTCTCTGGAGTTAGAGCAGAGCTCTCTAGCCACCACTCCACCCTCAGTCCTCCAGAGTCTCTGGCTCACTGTTAGGAAGGAGTGTCCTTGGTTTTGCTGCTGTGTCTCCGCTCCCAGTTCCTGACACCTGGCCCAGCTTCATGCATTTATGTGTGAGCTCAGCCCTCAGGGCCAGGCCTGGTGTTCAGTTGGACTGAGCTCCTCTGCCCTGCCCAGTTGTAAAATACTGAGCCTCTCCCTGAAGCTTAAAGAGTGACCACCACCTAAAGCCTGGGTACCCTGTGCCTTCGCATTACCCAGAACCCCAGGAGGCAGCCCTGGCCCAGAAGAAAACAACTGCTTCCCACTGCCAGTGCTCTCAAAGTCCAAGTACGGGATAGAGTCCTATTCCTACTATGGCCAAGGTTTTTTGGATTTGTACACACACACACACACACACACACTACTAGTAATTTTATTTCTTTAGGAATAAGTGTTTTCTTTCCTTCCTACCTTCCTTCCTTCCTTCCTTCCTTCCTTCCTTCTTTAGATTTATTATGTATGCAGTGTTCTGCCTGCATGTACACCTGCACACCAGAAGAGGGCACCATATATGAGCTATGAGCCACCTATAACCTGTGTGAGTGTGTGGTTGCTGGGAATTGAACTGAGGACTTTTGGAAGAGCAGCCAGTGCTCTTAACCTCTGAGCCATCTCTCCAGCCCCAGGAACAAGTATTTTCATTCTTTAAATTTGAAACATGATAAGAAAATCACAACAGACTGTGCACACATCTACAATCCTCTCCATTATCCATTATGTAGTACTGGGACGGAGCCGCAGGCTCCCACATACTGGGCAAGCACTGCCGCCAAGCTTTATCACCAGTCCTCTTTTACAAATGGTGCATGAGTGAGTGTGAGTGTGTGTGTGTGTGTGAGTGTGTGTGTGTGTGTGTGTGTGTGTGTGTGCGTGAATGCCATGGCACATGTTTAAGGAACACTCCTTTGGATAGATGAACTCCCTCCCCATTATTACTTGAAGCTAAGTTATGGACACTAACCCCTTTACCTCCAACGAGGCTGCACCTCCGAGCACGGGGTGTTCCCAGTCCTCCCCACAGTACCTCTCATGCTCAGAAAGCATCTGCTGACAGGATGCCGTAATGGACGCTGGACTCACCTTCACCTTCCTGCTACCTGGCAGGACCCTGGCTGGCCACTGCTCACTTCCAGCAGCTAATCTCTGCACAAGCCCTGGCTTTATGGGCCTTGTTTCTTTGGGTCTCCTCCAATCTGGAAAAGCCACTCAGCTTTTCCTCTCTCTCTCTTTCCCTTTCTGGGTGTGTGTGTATGTGTGGGCATGTGTGGGGGGGGTGTATATTATGTGAGTATGTGTTTATGAGCGGGTGTATGAAGTGTGTGGGTATGTGAGTGTGTGTATGTGGAGTGTGTGTGAGTATTATGAGAGTGTGTGTGTATGAGGATGTGTGTGTGGGTTTATGAGTGTGTGTGGTGTGTGGGTGTATTTGGTGTGTGTGTGAGAGTGTGTGTTGTGAATGAAAGGATGTGTATGTGAGTGTGTGGTGTGTGTGAGTCTGTGTGAACGTGTGTGTTCAAATGTGTATGGGCGCGTGTGTGTTGGTGGATGCGTACATGCGGGTGTGGAGGCCTAAGATTGACATCACGGTCTCCTAACCCCTCCCCGACACCTTATTCACCGAGCCTGGCTCTCTCAGTTAAACCAGAGCTGCTGATGTCGGCTAATCTCTCCAGTTTGCTCTGCCTTCCAAGCTACAGGAGGGCCACGTGCCCACCTGGCATTTACACCGAGAAGGGGCATCTGAACTCTGGTCCTCATGCTTGCTCAGCTCATCCACCGAGCCATCTCCTGCCTCTCTGCTTTCCGCTGCCTTGCTCTTGGACGTTTGGACCTGGCTGCTGTCCGGTCACCCTGTGGAGAGGCCATCCTGCCGGCTCTGGACTCTGAGAACCAGCCTAGCGTCAGGGAGGCTCGGGGCTCTTTCTACTCTGTCCTCTGCCCGGTCAGTCATCCCAGAGGCAGGGACCCAGAAGACCCAGCCCCCTGGGTAGTGAAATTAAACAGGTCCAGGAACAGGTGTGCTGAGGGCCAGGGGAGGGCAGGCGGCCTTACAGATGTGTCCCCTTTGCACCTCCGCAGATGTGCCCCGGCCTGAGCGAGGCTCCGGAGCTCTACGGCAGAGGTTTCCTGACCATTGAGCAGATCGCGGGGCTCCCTCCACCTGCCGTCACAAACTACATCTTCCTGCTGCTCTGCCTGTGCGGCCTGGTGGGGAACGGGCTGGTCCTCTGGTTTTTCGGCTTCTCCATCAAGAGGACGCCCTTCTCCGTCTACTTCCTGCACCTGGCCAGCGCTGACGGGATCTACCTCTTCAGCAAGGCTGTGATTGCCCTCCTGAACATGGGGGCCTTCCTGGGTTCCTTCCCCGACTACGTCCGGAGGGTGTCCCGGATCGCGGGGCTCTGCACGTTCTTCGCAGGGGTGAGCCTCCTGCCGGCCATTAGCATCGAACGATGCGTGTCCGTCATCTTTCCCGCCTGGTACTGGCGTCGGAGGCCCAAGCGCCTGTCCGCTGGGGTCTGTGCCCTGCTCTGGCTGCTGTCCTTCCTGGTCACCAGCATCCACAACTACTTCTGTATGTTCCTGGGCCGCGAAGCCTCAGTCACAGCCTGCCGCAACATGGATATCACCCTCGGCATCTTGCTGTTCTTCCTCTTCTGCCCCCTCATGGTCCTCCCCTGCCTGGCACTCATCCTGCACGTGGAGTGCCGAGCTCGCCGCCGGCAGCGCTCCGCCAAGCTCAACCACGTGGTCCTGGCCATCGTCTCTGTCTTCCTTGTGTCTTCCATCTACCTGGGGATCGACTGGTTCCTCTTCTGGGTCTTCCAGATCCCGGCCCCCTTCCCAGAGTACGTCACGGACTTGTGCATCTGCATCAACAGCAGCGCCAAGCCCATCGTGTACTTCCTGGCTGGGAGGGACAAGTCTCAGCGCCTGTGGGAACCTCTCAGGGTGGTCTTCCAGCGCGCTCTACGGGATGGTGCTGAGCCGGGGGACGCTGCCAGCAGCACACCCAACACGGTCACCATGGAGATGCAGTGCCCCGCTGGGAACGCGTCGTGAGAGGCCAGCGTCTGGGGCAAGGCTGCGCAGCAAGAGCGGCCGGTAGCTTCCAGAGACACTCTGCCTGAGGGCAGAAGCAGGGCAGCTGCCCCTGTGCCTCCGGGGAGGAGCGCTGCCTTAACCCACGGCATCTACCTCTTGCCGGGCGTGGCCAAGAGGCTGAGCAGCCACCTCTAGACAGACCCCGTGGCCTCTGCTCCCCAGCCCTTCTGCTTCTGTGACTCAGTGTACCAAAGCTGCCCTCGCCCGTGTGGTGGGGTCCCTTCTCAGCAGAAGCTCATGAGCGGAGGCGAGAAGAAGGTCACCTCGGCAGATGTGGCACATCTGGGCCCGCAGCTTCAGCTCCACCTGCAGAGAGTCATTGAGCCCTCCCAAGGCAGCATCTGAACAAACCTGAGAGAGCGGTGCTATCTGGAAGAGGAGCCCGTCCACGTGCATTGCGGCCTACAAATGAGTCCCTGTCCCTTTGATGAGTCATCCTATGACTTTAATGGGGTGGGGGTCTGGCAAGCCATGCGAGGCAGGAAGTTACCTTCTGCCACCCTGAGCTGACTGCTCTGGGCAGCTGTCTGTGCACTCAGTATCTTCCAGGCCACTGTGGTCCATTGCAACAGCTCCCTACTGAGTCCCCGTCTCCAGTGCCCATTTCAAAATGAACTCTGGTTCCATCCTGGCCCCCTGGGGGCTGTCACCACAATGCTCCCCTTCCCCAATCATCCAGCACAGTGGCCTGTGTAGCCAAAGGAAGTTTTATAAAAGATAATAAAGTATATATCAATACACATTTTTTTTTTAAATCTTGCAATGAGGCAGGCTCAATGCCCAGGGTCTTCTCTGTGTCTCCATGTCCCACAGTGAGGATAGCCAAGGGCAGCTGGAGTCCAGGATGGGTGGCCATCTGGTCCTTTCCCCTTGCTCTGGGTCTCCACCGGACATCTGGCCACACCCCTGGGCTGCCTTCTGCTCTGCCTGACTTTGTTTACGCCTCGGCTTCTGTGGCCCCTAAGGATGTGTCATCGATGGGGCTGTGTTCGTCCACGGAGAGCCATGGAGGGCAGAGGGTGAGGGAAGGAGTGAGCAGCATGCCCACCCAGGGCCAGGCAGGCTCACCACACACCCTGAGTCCACTGAGCTTTAGTCCAGGCTACACCATCCCAGAACAGGGACTGTGGCACTAGCGCTTAGGGGTAGCAGCCAACTTCCCCAAGGTTATGTTCCTGGTGGCCCATCACCCCAGCCACACTGCTCTGTTCCCTCCTGGCCATAGGCCATCTCCGCTCCTCTAAACAAGGAGAACTGTCATGGTGGGTCAGAGTCGAAGACTCTAGGAGCTTCTGATGTGCCAAGCCACTTGCCCTTCCCCTGTGCCTGGGTGAGGCTGTCTACCACTCCCTACCCCTCACCATGTCTACAGGGAGAGTCCTAGAGACACGGGGGGTGGGAGTCTGTGGCCTCCGCTCTTGCAGTAGAGCACTGAGAATGAGCACGTACCACAGCTCAGGGGAAAGACCGTGATCTCACTGTCATGTGGGTAGACGCTTTTCAGAGTCCTGGGGATGCCTGGCTGAGGGGGCCACCCAGAGTCTCCTGGCTCCCCAGAGCTCAGCCAATCCTGTTCCTCGGAAGTCTCTTCTTCAGAGAAGATGGAGAGTAAAACAGGAAGGCAGCAGATGTTGACCTCTGTCCTCCACGCACATGCACATACGTGCATACCTGAACCCCTGGGGCGGGGGGAGCTGTGGCCTATAGGGGGCCACCTGGTATAAATCAGGATTCTTAGCCCAGGTGCACCTTTACCCTTCCCCAGACCCCACACTGTGCTAATGGAGGAGCAGCAGCAGGACTAAGTGGCTGGAAACCTCAGGCCCACCACTTCCCTGCACTCTACTCTGGTGTTTAATTATTAAAGTGGGCTGCACAGGGACTGGACAACAGTGGGGCTAGCAGGTGCACGGGGGGTCTCCTGCAGCTGTCCCGAGCCATCTTCTTTCTGGGTGTTTCCCAGACTCCCCCCGAAAACTGCAGGCTTTTCTTCCCAAAAGCCAAGAGCGAAGGAGCCATTCTCCACCCCAGGACAGCAGAGAGCCAGGGCCCGGGATCGGAACTCCCATTATGGTGCTGCCTGGCTGTGGGGCTGTTACTCAGCTGGATTTCCCACCAGCTTGTGGCTGGAGTAGAGTGGAGAGAGGGATAGAGGGCCGACAGTACTCTGCGCCTTCTCTACTTCCTGCCACCCAGCAGCTCTTCGAAAATAAACAGGAAGAGGGGCACACTGTCAGACAGAGCAAAGGAAAAACAAGGACAAATTAGAAAGGTCAGGAGCGAACGCCGGGAAAGCAGATAGCCACCACCTGCTAGCCGCAGGACCTTAGTCTACCCGAGCCCAGCCCTAACGGGAGTGGGCAGCATGCATCTCAGCACAGGGAGGGGAAGAAGTGGGGATTTGTTTAGACACAGCTGCTCAGTGGGCAACGTTCTTGCTCTCAGGTCTCCAGCACCAGTGCCAAAAGCCAGGCATAGCGCGTGTGCCTGGCATCCCAGGCTGCGGCGGCAGAGACAGGAGGATCCCTGCGGCTCCAAAGCAGATCGGGCTGGGTGAGTCAGCAAACTCCAGGTTCTGTGAGAGATCTCAGAAAAAGAAGATGGAGAGTAAAACAGGAAGGCGGCAGACGTTGACCTCTGTCCTCCACGCACATGCACATACGTGCATACAAGTGTACACACATACAACACGTACACACACAGCTGGCTAGGCACACACGCCAGCACTGTCGATCAGGGTGACGACCGGAAGCGGACAGATTTGAGTAGCTGGCTGGGTGTCTCTACACAGCTGCTTGCAGCAGTTGCAGGAAGTCAGAGCTCCCGAGGCAACCCCAATGGGTCTCCTCTCCATGACCTCTGACCTTGACATCTCTCATAAGCAAAGTGTCGGGGTTGATGCCGGGAGTGGACTCGGCCGGCCATCACAGTCCGGGGAGAACCCGGCTGGATCTGGCTGGCTTGCGGTCCAGGAAGGGTGTGTTCTGCAGAGGGCGAATGGCTGTGAGCAGCCACCACTGCTCTCTCTGCCTCCCACCTCACCCAGGGATTCGGGCACTTCTGCAGCTTTGGCACGGCTTTGCCACATGCCTTCGGGGGCTCTCGGATACTTGGCTTCATTTTCATTTTCTAAGAGCTCTGTGTGGTGTGTGTGTGTGTGTGTGTGTGTGTGTGTGTGTGTTGTATTATTTGTGTGTGTACATGCGCACACATCTGTATAGAGGCCAGAGGTCATATTTTGGTGGTTTTTTTTTTACATTTATTTATTCATTTTTGTGGGTGTGTGGGTGCGTACACGTGTAGGTCAAAGGATAACTTGTGAGAGTTGATTCTCTCTCTCTCTTTCTACCACAGAGTCCCAGGAATCAAACTCAGCTAGTCATCAGGCTTGGCAGCAGGCACCTTTACACACTGAGCCACCTTCCAGCTATCCACCCATCTTTGAGACAGGGCTCCGATAGAGGGAAGGAGGGGACTGGGCTGGGGAGAGTGTAGGCTGGGGAAGGGGCCCTGTGATGGACTGGAGATGAAGACACGGAGCTAGGGAAACGCTGGCAAACTCCTGGCATCGCACCACAGAGCGCAAAAACCATTCTGCTGTAAGCCAGCAGGGAGCTGAAAGTTGGAGAACTCAGGAAGAGCTGGGCACAGTTTACAAAACCAAAACTCTCGGAAAACGGCTTGGATGAGTCAGCTTGCCAGCTCGGAGTTTCCTGGCAATTCAAGAGGAGACTCACCTACTTGGGCAGAGTGAACATCTGACCAAATCCATTCACATAGTCCCAAGCCCCTGAACAGCCACCCGGTGCTTGGTCTGCCTAGCCCAGGGTGGCCTTTGCTTGTTTTCTTCCCTGTCTGGCCTACAAACAGCCTGGGAAGGAGGCACTGAGCTGGCTGAAGAGTTTAAGGTTTATTTTGATCCTCTTCTGTGTGTGTATGCAGGGAGGGTATTGGATGTGAGTGCAGGTGTCCTAAAAACATTGATCCCCTAGAACTAGGGTTCCAGGTGGTTGTGGGCTGCTGGACATGGGTGCTGGGA